GAGTGAGCGAGTGAGCGAGCGAGCGAGCGAGTGAGTGAGTGAGTGAGTGAGAGCCAGCGAGGGAGAGAGGCTGGGAGGGAGGGAGCGAGAGCGAGAATGAGGCAACATGGAACCCGAACCCTCAGCCCTCAGCCCTAAACCCTCAGCCCCACACCCTGAACCCGCAGCCGCAAGCCCTCACGACCTTGTGCCCCTGACACATAGACAGAAAAGCTTCCGAGGATGGCGAAGTCCAAATGGAGATCCTCGCACCATTAGCAATGAGGGTTCGACTGGTCTTTCATTTTGGTTTAGGGTTTAGGGTTTAGGGTTTAGGGTTTAGGGTTCCATGATTCTAAGGGGTCTGTGACAGGGTTTGCGAAGGTTTTGATATTCCTTGTGGCTTTGCGAAACTTTGGGGCCCCTCATTGCAAACAGGGGCGGATCTATAGTCAGGATCCTGTGTATGGAGTAAATTCAACATGCCAATTGACTTGAGGGCTCATGGCTATGACTCTGAGTCAAGGGCTTATAAGGCTGTCGGTTTATAAGGGTGTCCTGGCCTCCAAACCCCTAAGCCCTGAACCCCGAAACCCTGCACCCTAAACCCCTAACCCCTAAACCCCTAACCCCTAACCCCTAACCCCTAAACCCTACACCCTAAACCCTAAACCCTACAGGATCGACTCTGAGGTTCGTGGGTAGGTGATTTGGTACCTCAGTTGGGACTAAGGGTACCTGTGGCTATTAGTTACCTGCCGTATAGGCAACTTGGGGTCTCCATACAACAAGAGTCTGTAACGAGGTGCTATTCCGGGCCTCAAAAACCAAAAACAAATGTGTATGTATGGTATACATGTATATATATATATATACCATACATACAAATCTTATCCAACTCTTGCTGAATAGAAGGACCCAAGCTGTCGTTTTGTAGCTGCCTCCAAAGCTTTAAACAACTTCAAGTCGGTGTTCGGGAGTGGACTGGTCTGGGGTGGGGGGTACTTTATAGGAACCTCCTCAAGGGATCTACTTTCTAGATCCTCCCAGAGGTCTGGGAAACTGCTGAGGTACAATGACAGGATGGGGAGCTAAGGTTGTGACAGAGAGAGTGTCCCGAGTTTTTCGGGGGTCGGAAGGTTTAGGGGCAGGTCTCGTCAGACTTCTCGAGGCAAAACAGCAGCAGAATGCTGTAGAAGAAGTGACTTCTAGGCCCCCACGACCAACAATGTTTGTGTGTACAGATGGCTTGCACAGTCCTGCCAATGTCCCATCTCGTGGATACTCACGAAGCGGCTCACATTCAGCAGCAAATTCCTCCAGTCTCTCTCACAAATCCCGTCAGGATATGCCGACCAATGAACTGACGGGAACATGCTGGGCGCCGCATGCCTCATAGCACCCCGACGCCTGCTACTACGTACCTCAAGCCTCCGACACTCTGCCAGGAACGCCAATTGACATGCGGCTTTCGTGCACAAAGTATGTGCTGCGACATGAACATCCCTTGACAAGGGCAACTGCATTCACCCTAAAACCCCTTCTGTACATCTGAACTTGATGGGCGTGACCCCCCAAAACCCTTTTGCATCACCCTTTGTGATCTTCACCGCTGCTTCACGCCAGGAAGGAGTCCCGTGCCCAATCGTCAACCCTGTTTGAACGCTTAACCCCACCATGCGCTAAACAACGGCGGCTTCGAGAGGGAAGCGGCCTGCTTCGGGCGACTGCTGTGGTGGCAGACCAGTGACGAAACAGCACTGCCTCCTTACATTGAGGGTAGAGGCTTAGGGTTTAGGGCGAGTTTAGGGCGTCTACGGTTTGGGGTTCTTCAGGCTTCAGGACGGCTTAGGGTCTGGGCACACTTCTCCATTCTAAGGTTTAGGCTTGAAAGTCCAAACATTAAAGTTGGCTCCAGGCTTCTAGGGTTTCGCGATGTGTTGGGGGATTACAGTAGGCTTCGGCACCAACAAAGAACTTCGCACATGGAGCACATCATCCTAAATCCAAGAGAAGCCATGGCCTGTTTTTGTAGATATGAGACCCGGTCTCCGGCTCTCTGACTTTTATAGGACGTTGGCAAGAACAGCCCTTCGATGCTTGAAGCCATGGAGCATAAAAGAGCGGCAGCACACTGTCCGCTATGTCTTGCCTCGCAATGCAAGACCCCTCAAAACCTCCACCCTCATGGGTAGTTCTCTAAAGTAGGGTCCCTTTTTGGGTCCCCCTTTATAATATGGACCCTAAAAGGGACCCTAATTTAGAGAACTACCCTCATGCAGGCTACAAAAAAGCCCGGCCAAGCTGACGTTTGCCCTGCGCTACGGATCCACCCAGCCGTGAACACGAAACCCCGAACATGTACTGTAGCGAAAACAGATTCTCTGATTTCTAGGTCCTAGCTTTGCAGCTTAGGACGAAGATTCGGGTAGTGGATCAGATCTGCTCGTGCTCCCAAATGCCGCAGGCCTCTCACACATCTCCACCCATAAATCCCAAAAGCCCTACAGCCCTAAACCTTTAGGGTACTAGACGCAGATCTCGCTGACTGTAGATTCAGAATGACGTGTGCCCGGAGCCCGGGACTGAAGTCAGAAGTCCTACCAGCAGGGCCTCCATCCTTCGCGCCATCACAAATTAGGGCTTATGGGATTTAGGGTTTACGGGGTTTTTGACAGGCACAGGTTTAGGGTCTATGGGGTTTCGGGTCTAGGATTTATGGGGTTTACGGTTTAGGGCTTGTGGAGTCTAGGGCTTATGGGGTTTAGGGTTTAGGGTGTCAGGATTGATTGACGCTGAACCGCATAGAGCTTGGGATCATAAAACTAGGTCGGAATAAGCGGGCAAGGCTCCGGGAACATCCCGCTGGCACGCAAACATTGTTCTGCAAGACTTTCGGCAGGGAGCTCAGATGAAAGTCCTGCGTCTGAATCTCAGAAGCGGAGCTCAACGAGTTCAGGAGTTTGGGGATCTAATTATATGTTCCGTTGCTTGCTTGCGTGTAGGTGTTTGTTGCCATTCCCGGAGCTACAATGTTACTCCCATCTTACAAAGGCATCGGACCTTTAGCTCCAAAAAGTGGCAAGCCTCCGCAAGAACCAAATCAATCAATCCAGTACCACTACCGTCTCAATCTCTTAGCTTTCTCTTTCTCTCCAATACCCATTTCACTTCCCATTTCCGTACCATAAGCTCCAAATCAGGCCTCTACAAATGTTCAGGGCTGTGTCTGAATATGCAGTTCATGTACGCTTTGGGCAAGTGCATCGAAAATATCCGTCGAGCCTTCTCCGGCCCTGTTAACTTCGTCAACCTGCCTCAACCTTCAATTCTAGTCCCTTTTTCAGGTGCAGTTTTTTCCAGTGATAAACAGGCGCAAGACGAATTACGATACTCACCGGCGGGGCTTAGACGCCCAAACATTGGAACCCTACAACCCTGCATGCCAATTCCTAATGCGCTCATCTCCCACACACCCTAAAATCATGCATCCTAACCTTTTGAACCTCAAGCCCCCATCCAGCATTTTTGACTGGTGGAGGCCTTGGCGAGTCCTTTCGCAAGTGCTCGTTGAAGGACACTGGCCTAGGGGATTGCAACAACTTACCTTATTAGGTTTGGGCCAGCTTTCGGGCTTTTTTTTAACAAGTTTAGTGCTTATCTTTTCTTTGCGGGCCCTTTTCCAACTGCTGCTAGGGCTCAGCGCTTCGTGCTTTTAGGGTTGAAGCACCGGAATTTCAGGAATCGCTCTTCTTGTTTGCGGGGCTAAGGGTGTCGGGTTTTGGTGGCAACCGCTTCCCAAAGCTCTGTTTAAATGTTCTTTTGAGTTTCGATGGCTTCTGCCATAGCGTTGATGTGTTAAGGTTCGGATTTGGGCTGCGGGATGTGCAAGAGTTTAGAGTCTCCAGCTTCGCACTGACGGACTCTGTCAGAAGATTCAAGGTTCCCCTGAGAACCCAATACCCTTTAATTAAGGAATATACCTTAGATAAAAGGGGCCTTTAATAGTATGATTTAAGGTATATTCCTTAATTAAGAGGTATTGGGTTCTCTGGACTCTAGAGCTTACATGATCGTACTTCGGGGTACTATGCAAAGACAGAGCTGAATAAAGACGGAGCAAGAAAGAGGCAAGGCCTATTTCTACCGAGGCTGGGAGAGTTATCTCGCAATGTCTAAACCCGAGGAACCTTCGTTCTGGCCCCAAAACAGGGCATCTCTTTCCGTGAGAGGGATTGAGCTTGCTGTCTGGAGATTAAAGCCCATGGTGTACGGCTGCACACCCCCAGCCCGGTCATGAAGCCCTGAAAATCTGCGAGCCTACTGGGCCTGGGTTCACAAGGGAAAAGCCTACAACGGCCAAAAGCGCGAAGCTAGGACCCGAACCCCAGTGTTACAATATAATGCTCTAAACATGAGCTTGGCTTGCTTAGCTCGTCTGTGGGATCTGCAAGGCTGTTTTACGAACTGAGAATTCAGAAATCTGGCTTTGAGTAGCCAAAAGCATCGTAGTCCACCTTGAAATGCTCGTAAAGAGCAGTTCTTGTTGAGGGGGTCAGGTCATCAGCCGTCATGTTGCAGTGGTCCGTCCAGCTGGCCATAAAATGAGTCTCCGGCAGCTTGACGTCACGCCCAAACTCGGCCATCAATGCAGCAAAGCCTTCGGTCAGGTTCTCGGTATGCAGGATGCGCTGGCAGAATGGTTGGGTTGCCCCAATTTCGCCAGATGTACCACACACATACTCCGCTTGCGTGATGAACATGCAGTTGTTCATGTATGGGCGCGAGCGGAGCTCAGAGAGGAGTTCCAGTGTGCGACCCTCCAGAGACTGCGCATCACAATCCCCGTAGAACATTTTGAAGGCTTCCATGTATCTGCTTAGGGGCTCCCGCACGGCGCAGAAGGTAGTGCATTTCGGATCAAGGAAGAACTCCCGAATCTCAGCACTCCGGGAAGGTGGCGTGTGCACCTCCTCACATGCATCCGGGCCATTCGGCGGGATTTCACGCATGGCGCCCGGATGCGTGGCGAAGAAGATATCATATGCCGCTGAGCTGCTGTGCGCCAAGTCGAACATTGCACCCAAATCAACTTCCTCCGGATCAGCACGCAAGAAAGCTTGCAACATGATGGAGTCAAAAGCATGGTGTCCCGCCGAGAGATAGATGTTCGCTGCATCGATGCTGGTGCCCCCTGTCTTGGGTATGTGCATGAAGCGAAGACACTGTTCGGTCTTGGCGGTTGGCCGCGCCGACGCGGCACTCCGCTGCAGAAAGTTCACACCTGTCATCTCCACGTCCCCAAAAAGGCCACATTGCTGCGCATGCGCGGGCTGCAAAACCAGCCACGACCAGCAGGCCAGCAAAAGAACACGGATCGCCATGGTAGCGTTGCTATACCATAGTACCCTCTGTAACTCTGTCTGTAATTGAAGGCCTGGACGCTACAAGCCCAATCCCTAAGACCCAACATGAAGCCTTCCCTAGACCCTACAAGCACTGCACACACATCTCCTCTAAACCCTTTTTAGCCCCCAAACAGTTCGGTCGGCCGGGGGTTTTCGGCCTCAGAGCAAACGGCGTAGCACCAACTTGGATATGGGTTTCGACTCTTGGCTTTAGGGTTTAGGGAATGTGGGGTGGAACAGAGAAGTTTTCGGGTACTTTTGTTGAACCCCACGAAGAGGCTGTCAGTTGGGGCCTCTTCAGATCTATGTATGGGGTTTGGGACTGGATTGGGGCGCTGGGGCGTGAGATTTTGGATCTATTTTTTTAATTTGGGGGTGCAGTTCAATTCTGCGGGGTTCAGGGCTCCATAATATAGGGGCCATAATAACTAGAATAGGGTTTTGGGGTATGCTATACTATACTATGCTCATAACACGGAGCCCGTACTAGTAATTATTTAGGCCCCTAGAATAGGCATTGGGATCTGGAAGGGTCCAGGGCTTTGGGGTTCTTGCGTGTTAGATCTGGGGCTCAGGTGAGCGGAATTAGAACAGGGTGCTGGGGTAGGGGGAGAAAAAAGGCCCCTCTTGATACGGGGAAAGGCGATATTTTAATGGGAAACATGTGTATCTCATCGCATACTTTTTGGCCATCAGGAGCCCCTTGAAAAAACACTGTTGCTAGCCGGCCAAGGCTTCTAAAGTTGGATAGGAAAGACCTTAGTCTGACTTGTCGGGTATCATGGGGAACTAAAGGTTAACCTTTTGGTTCTATATAGGGGTTACATAGGGATATACTTCCCGAAAAAGGTTAAAGGTTACCTACTCTACTACTAGGTAGTAACTACTCCAGTCAGCCGTGCCACGTTGCGCCAAGATCGCAAGCCAGACTCCGCGTTGACGAGATCCTGCGCTGAAAGGATGAATGGGCGCTTCACCCGAAGGCTCTGAGGACTCATAGTCTAAGGCTTTGGGCCCAAACACCGTATGATGCACGGTTTTTGGGCTATGTATGGCTATTTTGAGCTCTAGGGTCATGAGTAATGGAGAGGAGTCCAAGGAAAGGTTTCACAACCGCGAGGAGGCGCAATTATGATTCGGATTATATACTGGTAAGCAGTCCCCTATAGCCTTTACGCATGGGACCAGGCACAGTCCAGACGTGAGTACGCTTGCACACACAACGGTGCGTTTCCAAACGCATAACACTACACAGTCATACACAGTCACTGCACCCCTATGCAAGGTTGAGTTAGGCCCGAAAATGACTACGCTTACACTCAAACCCGGCTTCAGCATATCATGATCTTCACCTCCGGCCTAAAGCTTTGAGATGCCAGGCAAGACAGGCAACAATGCAACACAACAATAAACACAATGTAGCAGTATCAAAACCCGACAATGCACAGCGACCATTGTGCATCTTTATACACCTGTAGAAAATTGCCACATCAGCAGACACAACCCAAAAACCTCAACTCTCTGCAGTCCTTAAAACCTTAGACTCTGCTGCTCCGACAGTAATCTTTAAAGTTGCCCTTTTTGTAACCTTCATAGCAACCCCGCAACCCCTGTAGTAACCCTTATACAATACAACCCTTATTACACGCTTCTTGTACCCCTTATAGTACAAGTACCCCTTATAGAACTCTTTTAGACCGTTTTGCAGCGCCCCTTCTGTGCCCCTTTATAGAACCCTTATAACACGCTTCTTGTACCCCTTATAGTACGCAACCGCTACAGCAGCGCCTCCAGGCGCAGCTGAACTTCGACGTAGCTGCCGCCAGCAATCCAACAGCCCCGGCCTAGGGCAGATGTTGAGGGTTTAAAATTGTTGGCTGCAGGTTTTAGAAGCTTGAGGGTTTAGGGTTAGAGGGTTTAAGGCTTAGGGTTTAGAGTTTTAGGCAGTTTAAGGTTTCAGCACTCACTCTCGAACATGTCTAGGCGAGGTTCCTGGTACACGACAATGTGCACATTGGCACTAGGAATGGCACGTATCACCATCCCTTCACAGCGTTAACGACTAACGGGAGCTTCAACTTACAGGCACTTCCAGATCTACTTCAGTCACAGGCGGGGCTTGAAAGGGCGAGGGGTTCACAACGGCATCTCACAGTATGTACACTGGCGGCGCATGCGTCTCAAACATCCACATCTCCCTCACTTGCCATCCTCTTGCTCGCAGCTATCATGGCATCCAGGCGTCATACAGGCTGCAGGGCAAAATCCACATCCATAAATTCCCTCTCTCTTCGTTCCTTCCCTCATGCAGTTGGTGCAGAATCCCAGCACATGTATCATGCAGTTGCAAATTCATGCTCCGTGTCCAGCTCTTTCCTCAATGCAGAACAGAAGTATTCTTTCACAAGTCCAGCCCTGCCACGGCGTAGCTTGTGACGTCCCTCCTATGTTATGCAGATACATGTATCCGCCGCAAAGCATCATCGTTGCAGCTTCCAGCCCCATTGTATGTGCGTAGGGCAGGATCCAGAGTCATGAATTCACTTCCTCCTCGTTCTTTCCTCATGCAGTTGATTCAGAATTCCCTGCACCTGCATCATGCAGTTGTAAATTCATCTACATGTCCAGCTCCTCCTTCAATGCAGTTCTCTTCGGTATTGTCAATATGCTCCTCCTCACTGCACGGAGGTGCTCTTCTTTCCTTCGTTTAACTCTGTCGCCGCATAGCTTGATCTCCGCGTAGCACATCGCCCTTTGTCCGTTGCTATAGTCCAGCATCCCTTCAGTCAGTGAAGATCACCGTCGTCGTTCTGGGATATCCAGCATAGATGCGGCTTGCTGACCGCGGTTCCATGGCCGAGGGCGCGGGGGTAGTGGTTTCTAGACCCACAGGGTTAGGGACTACACGACTACGAAACCAGAGACGAGGCGACGACATCGATCCACACGGGTCCGCCAGAGGTGTTTGTCTTTGCAGGAGTTCGTCGGTGGCTCAGGGCTAGTGTCTTATCAGTGAAGTGGGCAACAGTTGGGGTCTAGTCGTGGGTGCACGGGGGCACAGGGCAGCTTGGGCTCTCGGTGATTTCGGCTTCAGTTACTCACATACCCTCCAACCATCAATCCAATATTGAGAGTTTGCAGGTCAAGTCTCCTTCAAATTCCCGGGACTTCGAGGAGAGACATGGGCAGCATGGGCCGACAGCTGAAACAAAGGAGCTGAGAAAAAAAGGCCACATCTTCGAGAGTGTCTGAGGCTCCGCTTTGCCTGGGGCCGCTCCCTGCAGGTCCGAATCACTGAGGGAGAGCATCGCCACGTCATCTTTAAAGCCAGGTGACACCTCAGAGCTCCGTTGCCGTTGGCCAGTTGAAGGCTTGAGTTAAGTTGCGCGAAATGAACGGAACGGCCCCGACTCAAGTGCACTTCCACTGGGCTTGGGTTGCCTGGGCGACCTCTACACTCACGCACTTTTACCTCATGTGTCTGTTGTTTGCCCTAGTGGCGTGTCATGGACCATTACGGCCTTCTGTCCTGGCCTTGTCATGCACCAAATTCTAAACTCTTGTGTTTCATGCACATGCATACATCGTGTTCACCACGTCATTCACTGGCATCATGCATCAAATTCGTCGCGGCAACATGCATCAAATTCAACATGCATTCATCGTTGTGCAGTCACGCATTATGCCCGGCCGCTACACCCCGCATCTATAGCAAAGCTTGAGACATGTGCAGCCCGGGATTCAAAAACATGCAGCGTCCATGACCTATTGGTTGAGAGGTGGCTGAGAGCTCCATCGAAAACCCAACACAATATTAAAGTGAGGAGGGGCCCAGCACTAGATGAAAGGAGCATTCACCTCGATTATGGGGCTTTACACACCACCTCCCACGAGCTGAGCAATGACGCTCCTGGGGATGCAAAGCACTCTGCCATCTGGCAAAGTCACTGGCGTCAAGGCCGGCGTTTGTCTCGGCATCGACATCGGGAGTTGCGAGTCCAGATGCAGCAAGGTTGGGCCCTGTGCGTGATCCATGGGCGGTGGCTGCGGCGGCGGTGTCCACGTGCCTTGTGCTTGCTGTCCTTGCCCCCCCGACGGGGGGGACGAGCCGCCACCGTCTCCCTGGCTTGCCGGCATCGTTGCCTCAACAGCCTGCCGAAGTTGGTCCACGTTGTGTAGCACCTCATCGAGCTTGTCACGTAGGATGACAAGCCGGTCGGGGAGATGGTCCGCGGCCTTGTTGATCTGCCCGACCTCCTGCTGGACCCATGCCAGCAGATCCCGCGTCTCACGGTGTTCTTTAACCATCTTGTCGTAGGTCTTGCAGATTTCGCTCAGGACCTCGTTGAACTTGTCCTGTACGACCGTTCCCAGTGCTCCGATGGACTTGCCCAGCTTGGCCGTTTCCTTCTCAAACCTGGCGATGGCCTCCGAAACGCAAGTCTGGATGTCTCCACGGACTTTGTCCCCCAGCTTTTCCAGTTTACTTGCGATCCCCTTCGCGATCTCTCCCAGCAGCGTCTTGGCCGTCGTTTCCGTGTGGATGTTCACGTCCTTCTTGAGCTCTTTCAGGTAGAGATCTATGGCCTCCACCATTGCTTTGTGGAGGTTCACCGAGGTCTTGGCGAGCCCCGCGTGCACTGCCTCCAGCCTGATAGCCAGCTTTTCGGTCATGACGCCATTGGCCATGACTTTATTGATCGTGGCCTGAATTCTGGCTTGCAGGTCGCCAAAGCACATCCCATCACGCGTGGCTTCGTGCTCGCATGCCACCTGGAGGCGAACTTCCACCATCAGCCCCAAGAGCTCTTCCAGAATGGCCCTGTGCGCGCGTTCAGCCGTGGCCACTAAGCTGGATCGGCTGTAGCACCACAGCCACGTTGATGCGGCCACGACCGCCGTCGTTATGGCCACCTTCATGTCACATGCACCCAGGGCAAGGCCTGCGAGCATCTCGAGGAGGTCCCAAAGAAGGGCCATCATAGCAGCACGGGAGACAGGCTAAGCTTATCGCGAGTGCTCGAGAGGTGGTTTACTGCGGGTTAGCACCAGTTTCGGGTATGACTCTCAACGCACTACTCACCGTCGCATTGACCTTCGGCAAGATTCATGACATTTTAAGGTTTAGGGTTTTAGGTTAAGGGTTTCGAGCGCATGGGGAGTATGGTCTTAGTTTTGAAGGTCCGGGGCTCGGGGTTTTGGGATCAGAATTTTGGGATTCCGAGGCCTGTATGTCAGTTTTTGGTTACCTTGGAGGGTGGTTTTGTCTGTGGGTGGAGTCCTGCGTTCTCCTCACCGGCCAGATGTCAGGATGGAAGAATACATGTCCCACTACATACCTAGACCCTCATCTACCCTCTATCAAACCCCCAATACCCTGCATTTGGGACCTCATACCCCTATTTGAGGGTACAAGGAGAGTCCTGGAAAGACTTGGATTCAGGTCATGGGTCTGGGCTTTGCAATCCACATACATTTTGAGAACCAGTGGTTTAGAGCTTAATGTAGGGGCCTAAATAATTACCAATACTCTTATGATAATTATTGTATAATCCTGCCCCCAAAACCCTAATCTAATTGTTAAGGCCCCTTTGGGCACCATGGTTCTACAATGTGCAGATGTGCTGCCCTGGCACATTCGATGCTAGCTGCGTCGAACATCCGCAACGCCCACTGTTCGGTGTCTGCCCCTGGGGGAGGACCACAGGAAGTATCTTCATGACAATGGTGATAATGTGCAAGATAATATGAGTGGTTGATAGATTTGTCGAAGCTATGACTCACCCTGCCTGATAGGCCCGTGCTCCCGCGGGTTGCCTGCAAGGGCACAGTCACCACGGTTTAGGGTTTAGGGCAGTCTACGAGAAGGTCTTGGAATCTGAACCTGGAAGCACTAAATCCTAAAGCGCCAGAGCACGGCAATGATGTGGATTGAGAGGACAAGGCCTACACAACACCAAGCCGACAAGCAAGGAGCAACATAACTACGACGCTGTAACAGAGTTAGTTTACAAGATGTACAACACTACCTGTTCCGGTGTGCCTTAACCCTTCCTCCATTCTGACGCTTTGCCGTGCTTATCGCCTTCAAAACCTCGTTGAAGCTGCTGCCTGGCGGTACCATTGTGGCTGTTGTCCGATATCGGTGAATTCAGAGGTCCTCAGCAGGGCTTACACACGGGGTCTAGGATTTAGGACCTGAGGGTTTAGGATTTGGATGTTCAAGTTTCGGGCTCCAGGATTTGATACTGTTGAAGAGTGGAATTTAGGGATACTTCGATCTCTGGGTGCACAGCATACAGCTCGGTGTGCATGGCTGAGGGTCATGGCCTCTCAGGTATTTTGGGTTAATAACTACCTATACGATTTTGGGGGTTCTTATTATGATTGTGGTACAACATACCCCAAAACCCTCTTCTCAGTATTAATTAGGTTTAGGGTTCAGGGGCTCAGGGCTTAAGATCTGTCGTAAACCCTACCTGCCCTCCGATGGATGTAGTTCCTCTTTTGCCTTGCTCCCTTGTTAAGGTGACGAGCCATAGGGTGTAAGTCCGTATAGGCGGACCATGAACCCTCTGGTTTTTCGGGCCCTTGCGGCCGCGTCGCTGATGGGAAAGGTCCAGCCACACATCGAGGTGGTCGCGGTAGGCTGTGGCGCAAGCCCTCGGCAGACTGTCCCAGAAAAAGATATACTAGAATCTGAGATGCCATGTCTCTTTTTTGTCGCCTGCGTTGCTACTCGTTGGATGTTTCGATCTCTCAAACTGAAGAGCTCTGAGTGCCACACTTGCAACTGTCTTGCAGATCAGCCTTCCTCAAAAACACGACCGAAGACTAAGACCGTCTCCGCAAAAAGCTGGATTCCAGCTTCACTTTCCCAGGATTGCTCGAATTACCTGAGGGCATTCTGGTGTGCCTGCCTGACCCGGCCTAATTACACGAACCCCCCATGTTCCCTGTCTGAAGCAATCGAGCAGCTGCTGCACTGGCATAGGGGCCAGTGCCGCAGACCATGCCGGCCGCGGGTGTGACTACTTTGCTGAAGCTCATGTTGAGACATGCACGGGAAAAAAATGGTAAAGTCCGTAGAGGATCTTGCCTTTTTGTCTAGCTGCTACTTGAGGCATCATGCCAGTGCAGATTGAGGCGAGCGGGGGGGTGTTCACAATCCGGCACCATAAACCCTAGATTGAGCCAAGCCCGGAACTCTACCGTTTCTTAACATATAAGACTTATATTAACATGTAGACATGGGAAGATATGTAAGAACATTATGAAGATGTATACGAAGAAGTGAAACAATGTTACAGCATGTGCTGACGGTATATAATGATACGATTGTTCAGTCAGGTTGCTGTTTCTTATGGATGAAAGCGAGCCCAAAGCTGAGCAACACGAGTTCAACTCCTGCAGTTCTCCGATGGCATTCTGACGCTTGCGGTTCAGAAGGTTTGGGGATTTGTTGGGCTTAAACTTTTGTTTCCCAGGCGTAGGGTTTAGGGCTTGAGGGGGTGAGGGTTTGGGATGGGGTTGGCGAATTACTTTGAATCCGCATCAGCTCTGATACATGTACATATACCTGATCATCGTGCCCAAGAAGCACGGCCCTTGACACTCTCCGCCTGCTGGGGCCCTGAACAGACTTCATGGCATACGGTGGAACTCTACACACTCAAAAAATCCAAACCAGCATCCTGAATCATACAGCACTATGTACTATATTCCTATGTTCCAAACTCAACATGAAACTCCGAACCCGAACCTCCGACATGCTTGGGTTCTGTGATAGATATCCCTTCGTGCCTAGCTGGTGGAGGTACTTGTGGTCCCGCAGAGCATCGACCCCGCAGATGAAGAAGCCCTGGCACTCGAGTGCTCTTCGTCGGCAAGTTTCAGCTTGTGTAGAGTTATTAATTAGGGGTTTCGACTCGCACGCTCGCAAGGGTTTATGTAAGGGTGTCAGCACTCACAACTGGGACTTGCCGGGTTTAAGGGTTTAGGTGCCCAATGAATCCCGAATGCCTTCTGCCACCGTTGTGGTATATCTGGGCTTTGTCTGCATGCACAGATGGCTAGCTGTCTACGTGTCCTCGCTACAGGGATACCATGAGACTAGTACTGCCAAGGCAAATCGAAATGCATGATTCTCGATCATGCCTCTGCTTCAGAATGTCTTTGTAGCAGAATGATACGACTAATGAGCACAGGCGACACAAACCACAATCCTACTTTGGTGCGACATCTTGCACAGCAGAATGTGACAATTGACCCAATTCATCCTCAACCCTGGGCCTAGGCTCTCGAAATTTCTGGCTAAAATGCCCGAACCACAGAATCGCTCAGGTTGGACATAAGCCAAGGCCGGCCCAAAATCTTTTGAGGTTTAGGGCTTGAGCCCCGACAAAATCGTTGTTGCCTCATCGATCTTGTGAATACCTCAGGCTGCCGTCAGAGGTTCAGCTCAGATCATTGCTCAGTTTTGCACGTCTAGTCCGGGATAAGCGACAAGCACCAGCAAAAAACTCTGGCTCAATACCATCGGAAACTCAGGCTTGCCGATGAGATGGGAAATTTGGGCCTCCGTTCAATACTCGATCTCGCGATTTCGATCGCAATGAGAGAAGACTGGTGCCAAAAAGCCAGGGCAGTCGGAAGCAAAGGTCCGAGACTGCTGTTTGCGGTTTAGGTTTTAAGGGTTTAGGGTTTATTTAGGGTGTGTATACACTGTGCACACGGTGGGTGCTCTTGTATCTCAATTGTTTAGGGGGCGCACCCACTTGTCGCGCGCTTGCGTCAGCATGTAGTCCTGCCCAAACCACCCCAACTATTCTTATTGCTCCCTGCTTCCCCTCGCAGCTCTGCTTTGTGCTTCTCAGCAAACCACAGCTGAGATGGATTAGGGTCAAGTTGTGGGTCCTCGTGGCCTGTGCCGGCCGCTCGACCGGAATCAAAGGTTCCCAACAAACAACGCGCTCCTCGCACCCAGTCAGGGCTGCTCGACGTGTCCGGTGACGTCTAGGAAGCTGGCCAGAAGCGCACGGACCGCCACCAAGGCGGCGACCCGAAAATGTGTGTCGCCTTGTCATGGCCCCAGACCCTGGGACCAAACATCAATGCCTAACGGCGGCAGAGAGGTCATCAGCGGGGCGGCGTCACTACAGTCCTCGTATACCGGGAGGCTATACCCTCCCCCACCGTTCTGACGAGACGCTCGGCCGGGGGCCTCGGTCGGAACCTCGAGTGCCCATGCAAATGGTCAGCGGCGCTGTCGGCAGTTTGCACTCTCACAACTCGGACAAGCCAGGCGAGGATTCATGCGTGCAGTAGTCGGCGTGATACATTGATGTGGGGATAGGGGTTTAGGGCTTTTAGGGGTTCAGGGCTTCTCGATGCTAGTCATGTTGCTTTTCCCGGCACCCATGGGCCGCACCAGGCTGCACGGCACGGCTCGGTCGAGGTGCAAACTAGACTTTGGGGTACACCTGCTCGGCACGGCCTTTTCGAACGGTTGGACGCATGTCATGTGAACCCTCACCCAATCTATCACTGTGCTCAAGTCTCGCTAGAGTTCGACCCCGCCCTCCTTGTGTTGAACTCCGGTCATCCTGAAAACTTTTTGTGCATCCAGGACTCTTGCAAGCAGCCGGGAAACCTAAATCCCAAAACCCTACACTTAAACCCTAAACCCTTAACCCTAAACCCTAATCCCCAAACGATGTTGCAAGGCCCAGGGCTCAGGTTTTCGCAAGAAACCTTGGGCCCGAGAAAGCCGGCGAGGTCGCGAGAAGCGCTTTTTTCGCATCGTGTTGCAATTAGGGCTGCCTTACAGGGCATGGTGGGATCTCATGGGTTCTATATTCCGGGTTCTACAAATAAGGAATAAGAAGGATTCCATAACAGGGTCCTACAAGAAGGCTTAAGCCCTGCCAAATCTGCTTCTTCTGGGGAAGCGTGCACAAGAACTTCTTGCCCGATTCAGCCTGGTATTGATTACCACCGTTTCTGCCTAACCCCTTACTGTTGAAAATTATCGTTATCGTGAAACAGCGACCATCTGCTGCAAGCACCGTAGATAAGCTACACCTGCCGCCAGCCACCTAAACCGTCGCAAAAGCAAACTTACTTCAGGCCTGAAGCCCTCAACTACAAATCATCCTAGACCAAACCACATGGGGGTTTCCGAAAATAAGGGACTGAACTATAGTACCCTAAATAGTCGGATCCGCATTATGAGGACCCCAAAATAAGGTACCCCTTACTAGGCAGACCCTTCAACCTGCAAGCCGAAGCCCCTGTCGATCCTCGCCTTTGAGTCACGCAAGGCTCTTCACGACCAGGATGTCGCTCAGTCAGTCTGCTTGGAGGTTCATGGGTAGTTATAAGTGGAGTTATAAGTAAGCTAACTATAACTATAACCCATATTAGGGGACTTATAACCCTACTTATAGCTACCCATGAACCTCCAAGTGGGTTCTGCGGCTCCTAGTGTCTTCAGACGCCTTTTATCTCCCGGAAAGATCAGCGGAGGAGTTCAAAGTTTCGCTTCCATATGTTAAGCTCAGCGTTCAGCGGCAGCTGTAAGCCTAAGCGCATCCGACTTTGGTGTTACATCAACTTTCGAACCTTCCAAGGAATCGTCAACCCACGGACCCAGAGGAGTACCTCCAGGAACTTGACGGTGTAATGTAGGGGCCTTAATAATTTGAATAGGGTTTGGGGGTATATTCTACTATACTAATAACAAAAACAATAAGGAACCCCCAATCAAAAACAATGAAATTACTAAGGCCCCTGTATTAGGGCTTAGTTGTTACAGGGCTTCGAAGTGTCGGGTTTCGACTCTCACAACCCGCTCGCAGGGTACAGCGTGCAAGCTGGCGAGATTTGAAAGCAAGACTCTCTCGAAAGCCAGATCCGAAGCCTTAACCCTAGAGCTTGAAAGCTCGATTTCCTGGACTCTATCTAAGCCAACAAGAATTGAAAGCCACAAGCCGTAGGCCAAAAAGTGCTAAGCCCTAGAACCCCTCCAAACCCCCCTTTTTTGCAACTGGCTTGCAACGTCACCTCCAAACCCCCCTAAACCCCAAACCCTGGAAACGTCCGGCAAGCTTTTGCTGCTCGTGCCGCCGGTCGTTGCTGCGGCTGCATGACCTTGGGCCGTAAATCACAAGGGCCGGACTTTAAAGGTAGGGGGTTCAGGGCCTGGTGTCGTCTTATGCAGGGTTCAATGCTTTCAGCCTTATGCTCTCACACTGAAAGACTACCAAATGACGTGTCATGAGGCTGATGATGATGATGCTCATGGCAGAAAGGTGAAGCAAGCGCCACACCCCACCACCCACCTCAAAGGATCATGCTTCTCTTTTCATCGGCATTGTCAAGACCAGGCGCACATAGCTCGCTCAAATCTCGACGCGACCCGATGAAGCGGCCAGCGCACGTCCCAGACTACAGACTACAGCTACAGCACCGAAGCACTAGGCATAGCCGTTGCTCACCTTTGCCGTGGCTCGAAAGGCAGCCTCATCACAGCAGGTGGCAACCACATGCACAGGCGGCTACATGTGTGTGTGTGTGTGGGTGTGCATGTGCGCATACATGCATGTATGAACGAATGGTTGCATGCATGTACGTGTATTTGTGTGTATGCGCATTGCGTATGTGCATACGTGTGGACATGTGTGCGTATGTCTGTCTGTCTGTCCGTCTGTCTGTCTGTCTGTCTGTCTCTGTCTGTCTGTCTCTCTCTGTC